TCCTCCCAAAACACCCCAATAAGCATAGCCACTGTTGTCTTGAAAAGCAACTTTTCTAAACTGCCCCCGCAGCTTAGAAAAGAAATAAGGAACAACTGCTCTCAAGCTGACTGCATAATCTCTGTCTTTGACTCAAATTGCTCTTCCTCTTCTCCAAGGCCACATGCAATAACATTTTGCAGGCAGCAGTGAGGTTTAAAACCAATCATCAACTATCTGGAGTGTTTTACAAATGGTTACCTTGCTGGTTATATTTCTTGCAAATTTGTGAAGTATGCCACTATAATTCATATATTTTCAAATCAGAAATGTGAATATAAGAGACAGAAACCATCATAGTGAAGGATGAGCTAAATGTGACTTTGAATGTATTTTTGCATTTATCTTCTCTCCCCCACCCCCCAAAGTACAAATGGCAGCCAGTGGGTACTGTTTACATATGTGTAATACTTATCTGGATCATACTAAGTGGGAAGGAAGGAAGGGGAATTTTAACCCTTCCCTGTTCTGCTGCAATCGTGACAAACATGATTCCTGTGAAGTTGATGTTTGTAATGGAAGGAAACATGCCGCTGGTGGCAATGGAAGATCTCCTGCCAAAGCCAGGTGAAGCTGGCTTTGGCAGGAGATCTTCCATTGCTTCCCCTGGTAGATTTTGTCAAAACTGCAGTGGAAGACAAAAGAGTTAACGTCCTCCATGACAGCAGCTGTATTTCTGCTGTTGTCATACACATGACTATCGTTTGCATTATGAGAACATGCATGTTTGGTGCAAAGATCTGCTTAACATCCTTCCGCTTGAGTCCTTAGAAAAACTGTGAATATGAATTCAATGCCTGCACACTACCAGCTGTGAAGTGGGCACTAGTTCTTGGGTCTTCCTTGGAGGATAGAGCACATACTTACAAGGCATGGTACACATCCACACACAAACATATTTGGCATGCAGCTGGCTACCAGATCAAATGGTAGCACCCCTCCTGTGACCTCAACTTTCAGCATCCTTTTCTGTTCATGCCCATTTCACGCTTCCTCTGCTCTACCAAGGAGACTGAACTCTGAGCAGCATTGCTTTTTTGCAGTTTAAGCTTATGATTTTTCAGAAAGAGCTTTATTTACATATTCGGTACCTTGATCTCTGCTTATTCTTTCTTCTTCTGTTAGGACCAACTCACATATTACAAGGCAACAACACTGGGTATATAAGCTCAATAAGACAGAATGGTTTCCTATAGGCAAAGGTGTCAGACAAGCATGTACTGTATTTTATTTGCTGATCTGTTCAATATGTACTTAGAACATATCATACGGAAAGCCAGACTAGATTTGGATGAAAGAGGAGTGAAAATTGATGGAAGAAAAATCAATAATTTAAGATACACAGATAATACCCTCTTACTGGCAGAAAGCCTCGATGACTTGAAATAACTTTTAGTGAAGAAAGAAGAAAATGCCAAAGCAGGACTCCAACTGAACATTAAGATCAAAATCATGATTACAGATGAACTACACAATTTTAACCTTGACAATGATGAAACAGAAATAGTTAGATTTTAACATTGACAATGATGAAACAGAAATAGTTAGAGATTTTCTATACCTTGGTTCAATTATCAATCCAAATGGAGAGTGCAGCCAAAAAAATCAGAAGGCTCATAAGGACAGCAATGAAAGAACTAGAAAAGATAATCAAGTACAACGATGTGTCACTGGAGACTAATACCAAGATCATCCATACTCTTGTATTTCTGATCACCATGTATTACAAGCTGGACAGTAAAGAAAGCTGACAGGGATGAAATAGATTTGTTTGAAATGTGGTGCTGGAGGAGAGCTTTGCAAATACCCTGGACTGCTAGAAATACAAACAAGTGGGTTTTAAATTGAATCAAGCCACAACGATGTGTCACTGGAGACTAACACCAAGATCATCCATACTCTTGTATTTCTGATCACCATGTATTACAAGCTGGACAGTAAAGAAAGCTGACAGGGATGAAATAGATTTGTTTGAAATGTGGTGCTGGAGGAGAGCTTTGCAAATACCCTGGACTGCTAGAAATACAAACAAGTGGGTTTTAAATTGAATCAAGCCTGAATGGTCTCTAGAGGCAAAAATAACGAAACTGAGGCTGTCATATTTTGGGCATATCATGAGGAGAAGAGATTCTCTGTAAAAAGCAGCGCTGGGAAAGGTAGAAGGCAGCAGGAAAAGAGGAACACCAAATATGAGATAGACCGACTCTAAAAGAGACCACAGACTTCAGTTTGCAAGAGCTGAGCAGAGCTGTTGAGGACAGGACATTTTGGAGATCACTCTTTCACATAAGTCAGAGACATTTGATGGCACATAACAGCAAGAAGCTGAACGGAGATCCTCAGCCAGAACCAGCCCTCCAACAATACCAAGGTCCACAAACCCTAACCTGACAACCGGAACAATCATACTGTACTTATATATTTTAGAAAAACTCTAATTCTTCTGAATTCTGGCTGGGTGGGGCAGTCACCAAAAGTATTTAGTAGTCACAAAGAATTAGCCTGCCCTAAAAAAAGAGTTAAGTATATTCCTTTTATATCTGCTGATCGGCAAGAGGATTTTACAGAATGAGTGCAAAGGATGTGTTTGTAGAATCTCTTCCCAACCCAGTACAGACAAGCTTCCACTAGAACTCAGCCTGGTGCCCTCTTGAAAGGGGCTTTCTTTGTGCTCCCTTGTATTGTTGTCAGTTTTTTTAAAATTGTGTTACTTCTCACTATACTGGAGACGTGCCCTGCTATTTGCCTGAACTGAATTTATGGTCGCCACTGATGACCTGGAAGTCATATTTCTGGATCTAAAGAGATCCGCCAGGGCTCTTCTGCTATTACTACATGGTTTCTTCTCCTTAATCCTGATTCATAATCCCAGTGTTGCTGGCTCTTTACATAGCAGCCCACAGTATTTCCCATCTCCCACCACAGACAGACACCTTGTGATCACTTCAAATAAAATGGGCTGGCAACTTCCTGAGTACATACCTCAGCCCTGAATTTCAACAGCCACGTCAACACAACCTGAGAGCAAACTGATTCTTTCCCCCAGCCATAGACCATGTAAAAGGCAATATCTCCTCACTCAGGCTTCCGTTCAGGCCCTCTTAGTTGGAGGCATTATTAGGGAAAATGGTAGCGCACTAAAGCTGCTTTGGCCAATAGAAACATATCAGAAGCGTAATACATAACAGAGCAATAAAACCCTGAATGCTTACCATATTTTGATCACAAGGAAATAGCCCTTTTCTGCTATAGAGGATAAAAATGAGCTGCAACTGTCACTCATAATCCTTTGCTGGCTCCTTCCCTGGCTCTTCAGGCCAGGCAAGATCCCAGTGATCAGATAACTATGGTCTCCTCGGCTTCTAAAAACCTTTCAAGCAGATACTGCTTCAGATCCATCACTGCAACCCTAGCTGCACCTGCAAAAGTTCATACAGATTTTTCAAGGCACGGAAGAGAACCTTTTGAAGAAAAGGGAAGAAAGACAAGGCACCCTTTATCCTCAGATATTGTTCCTGGGCTATGTACTGGTCTAGAATGCCTGTCATCCAGAAAACATCTGTTAAACTTTCCCCATCCTGGTGCATTAAATTTGTACAGAAGTTAACAATTTTCTGTTTTCACTCTGAACTACATCTCCAGCATGTCGCCTTCTCATGCCACTGCTGAGCCTTGGAGCATACAGATGCCACATCCTGAGAACTTGCCGCGGGTAACTACAACAGGTCCCATGTCGCTCTCCTTTACCAGACATGGACTTCTCAAATCACTGAACAAGGATGTGAGGCAGGGCTCTTCCTGTTCTCCCATATTTGAAATTAAACGGCATCTGCTGGGACTCTCTCCCTTGTCTTATTACCCTTCTCATCGGAGCAGTTTAGAATGCCAAGGCAACTGATGCCGTTATTGCCTTCGTCCATTTCACACCCCCAGCAAAACTGCATCCTAGAAAAGCAGAACTATGTGTCTGAAACAGAAGCAACGAGCATGATCAGGGTGAAGGGCAGGCGAGATCAAGAATTTTCTCTCCCCCCACCCCCGTAACATTTTCAAAAGCTCCCCATCTCATGCACAGTTTTGGATAATTGCATCCTGTCAGGCTGTCACAATTAGACAATTCTGTGTGCCTAGCTTGAGACTTGTTCTCTTTTTGCAGGGTAGCACCTCCTTCCCCTCACTTCTAATTTCTTTTGTTTAAGCGAAACAAAAGAGGAAGGTTGGGTCGGGAGCTCAGGCAGGCAAAGGCTCCTTGCTGCTGCTGATGCCTGCCAGTGCTTTTTGCTCTTTATTCCTTAGGTGAGCAGGCGAGAGCCAGAGAGCAAGTGGCTTCCCTGGCACACATCTGTTCTCTCTCCCCCCCCTCCACCCACTCCCTGCCATTAGTTAAAGACAGGTGATATTTTACATGAAAATGATGGAAGGGTTAAAACAATGGGTTCAACAATATTGTCAGGAATGGTGTCGTGTATGGCAGGGAAAGACAGACTCTCATTACTGCAAAAACATTTCTGAATCTTTCTCTCTCTCTTCCCCCCCCCCTTCAAATTTGATGGTGAGGGGGACTAATCACTACCTGGTGGAAACGAAAGATAGAGGACTAGGAGCCTCTTTCTAGCAATACTGTACATATAGCTATATTTACATACAAACAAAATAAACAAATTTTACTGATTCGATACAAAAGAAAAGGGAAAACCCAGGAAAATACACCAAAACATAAGCCTTTTTGCTTTCGGTTTTTGGTTTCATCCAACAATTTTTAAAGTTTCCAGGACACTGTCCCGTATCTCGTTCCTTAGCTAGACGATAAATAAATAAAGGAAGGAAGGAAGAGGGCAGCGTGGCGGATGGCAGATTTAAATCGCCGTGCCTAAGGGACCGAGGGGCAAGGTCGCGCGCTCTCCCCCCCCCCCCCCTCCGCGGCCGGGGGCCCCGAGCGGGTCTCCCCGTCCGTGCCTTACCCCAGAGGGAAGCAATGCGTCGCTCATCCCGGGCCAGTCACGGGAGGCTCGGGAAGAAGCGCATCCAAGCGAGGGTCGGCGTGCGGGAACGCGACCGGCGGCGAGTCGGGGTTGATCATACGAAGTAAAGTCTGTTGACCTCTTTCCACCATTCCGTGTGATTGAGGATGATGAGAAGTACTGAAGCTAAG